GCTCTGCTACCGTTTCCAAGCAAAGATATATTATTTGTATATGTTATAATAACACCATAAGCCCGAAATCTCAGGCAGGTATACCCCAGATCCTGTATTTATTAATCATCATATTTAAAAGGCTCATTATTGATATGATTACCATTGTTTGCTTTAGCTATGTCGTCTTTGGTAACTTTATTGTTATTGTTCAGAAGGTCGACGATGAGCTAGTTTTGACAAATCCTAACGGCACCCGGCCGCTATGTATCGCATCCTTTATTAACAAAGTTACACCAGGGTTCGTGTTTGTCGTAAAATTTAATAGAAGCAGACCCGTGTGAATTTATGTTGGGTCCAATTATGACGTTTGCGTGCCCTAATGCCGTGGGAAATTTGAAACTCCCGTACGCTATGGTATGTCTGAAGATAGACCAATGAAATCAATCATTCGAAATTTTTACATTCATAGTTGAACTAACTGGTAAAGTAGAAGAAACGTAAAAGAAGTAGTTTATTTTAAAATTAGTAATATTCTTTTCGTTAAGTAGTATCTAGGGAATTAGATAAAGATGATGGCTTTTCTAATGGCAATGCCGTTTACGTTTTAGCACAGAAAATAAGGTGGCGTAAATGTAATTTTATTTAAAGTTTTTGAAAAAATAAAAAAAAAAAGCTTTTTATTAAAATTTGTATAAATGTAAAATGTGCTGATACTATATTGTTGAAACCAAATTTTTTGTTTTTTACCTTAATTCCAAGACAATTATGGTGCTCAACAATGAGATGGCGCATATGTTTTTATGTATTTATGTAATGAATATAACGAATATATATATATTGGATGAAATCATTTCTAATCTTTATAATAATATTGAGCGGAATATGTCAGTCGTGTGTAACTGAATCCGTGACCAGGGTGAAAAGCTCTTTAAAGAGTTTAATATAAGACTGGCAAGGCCAGGAAGAGATGGCGGCACGAAGCTCTTATTCGAGGGGATAGCTCTTTATAGTCCAGGGTTGGATTTGGAGGGAAGGGCATATAGTTGGGCAAAGTTTTGCCCTTTCATAAAAGACTAATACAATAAGTAAGTAATAAAGATCCCGATCAATCACGATGCTTGTGAGCATTGATGTTGTTTGAAATCAAACACTAATTTATTTTATGAAAGAGAATCGTCTTAAGGTTTCGGACTTCACCTATTGTGATTTAGGTATTCAATAATTGCGGTGGGGAATTTATCTACGACGTAGGTATATACGTGCACGCATTAAATATGCTCTGATGGAGTGGAAAATGTATTCAAACGAGTTAATCTGTTGCAAGCCTTGATTCCTTTGTTGGGATTTGATGCGTTGTCTTATTCAATAATTGGATTTAGTGATTGAATTAGTGTTGACGCTTATCATGGAACTGTTGACCCAAAGTTTCTTTCAAACAAATAACTCGATGACATGCATAAATACTCATGTTTTATTGTTATTTGCGTAAAATACATTACGTAGATGATAGTATCGTGGTTCTAGTAAAAAATACTTCGCAGTTCTATTAAAAGTGTGGTGAACCGTCAATTTATATTCCATTGGAGGAATTTTATTTGTGTTCGCAATCATTTATCGCTCTGCCTCACGCCGGAAAAAACAATCCACAAGAGTGACAATTCATCTTACCAAGCGCCTTTTCCCTTGATATATCTATAGGGCGAATAATATATTCTAAACTATTCTTTACACATATCATACGTTGTTTGTGTTCGGAAAAATGATATTCAACGCTCTGATTTAATGTCGCGCTGTAATTGCAATATTTTCTTTTGCAGCCGGGTTTGCAATGCGCAAATTGATCGTTTCTTAATGCAATCAGCAGCAGGAAACTTGTAGGAAAATATAATTAATAAAACAACCAGTACTAATTGTTGTATAGCAACATATTTGTTGTTAATTCTACACATAATGTAATTTGTATTAAGATAAAGCCGTCATCTCACGAAATTTGTAGACACTTTTGGGTTAAAGGTCAATAACAACAATGCAGGTGCAATGCATGTGCCTTTAAAATTTACGAGATGGCACAATATCGTCAAGTTTTGTTCAGGAAAGTCACCCATACAGATAAATTAAAAAAAAAAAAACACACAATTCTATCTAAATCAACATGGCGTTTTCCAATATAAACGTAAATTATACAAGAATTTCTCGTTTAAAATACAAAGTCAAAATCTTTATTCAATAAAGGTTTATTTTAAGTTTTTTTGAACTTAAAAATCAACCACCGGATCAATCTGGCCAGAGAAGAACCGACGAGAAGCTCTGCAGTGTTGTTATCTTTTTTTTTATTACTAAGACTATTATTAAGACTCTGCTGTATGTCTGTCTGTCTATCATCAGACTGTATTTCATAAACTGTGATGGTTAGAGAGCTGAAATTTTCACGGATGATGTATTTCTGTTGCCGCCATAGCGACAAATACTAAAAAAACAGAATAATAAATATTTAGGTGTGGTATATTAGGTTTTTATAGATAATGGTACGGAAGTCTTCGTGTGCGAGTCCGACTTGCACTTGTTATAAGAGATGTATGATGAATTTTGTGCCAAGTACATATTGTGTAGGAAACGGAACCTAGCATTTTTATTTTCTTGTACGAAGTTATTATAACAGAAAAATTTTTTCACGCCAAACAAACAGAACGTGTAACTATATGAGCATATAGAGTTTAAAAAGAGTTGCGATAGGGAATTCCTAGAAGCTTGTATTATCCAGTTAATGTAATAACAAAGGGATAATAAACTTGTTTACCGTATGTTAATTAAATACTCACCAAGGGATTGGTTAATCGAAATTGCGGAATGTTTATCTCCACGAGCTCAGGGAGGCGTTGGATGGATAAATAAAATAGTTAGCAAGGATATTCGGCGTCGTTTGGACAACGTGTATGCGTGAATTGTATGATTTGAATTGCGTGTGTCACTGAATATGATTCCAAATGATTCTGTCAGCGTGGCGAGATTGTTTGGTTTTGGGTGTTTCATTTGTCTGTATTTTAAATGCCCAATCGCTAGCCCATGACGGTATTAATGTTTTTACTGTTTCTGCGTGATTGTTTTGCATAATTATGAAGCATATAATATATTAAATAATAAAAGAATATGTTTTTACTAAATAATTTTATTATAAAAATGTTTTTTTAAAATTTTACGTAGTAGTTTTATCGTATAATATTTATGTAATAAATCATTAGTTCAAATGTTACCTATGTTTATTCAAATTATATTAATTTTTATAGAGCTAATCATAGCGCTCAGCGCGAATCTTAATGTTTGTAGAAAAATGGACGAAAAGTTTCTCGTTGCTCCGAGGACTTTAACCTGCGGTCTCAAGGCTAGGCACCCGATGGTCTAGCCACTGAGCTAAATGGTTTATCTTCACACACCGACGAAAATCACAACCTTATTTATCGACTTTGTTTTTATTGCATACGAAGCAGTGCTTGGCATCGTCTAGTGCTTGTTTTTCTACAAATTTTAAATATTTATGTGCAGCTTGAAGTTTGTGAGTTCCTTTTTTAAAATGATAGATTCAGATCCAACCAGTCTTACTTACTCACGTTATTAAAGATATAGAATCTTTTATGATATTTAAATCCTTCGAGATTTAATAACAGATTCGCAATTGAAATGCACAACAGTTGGGTCCTTTCAATTTGTGTCCAATAGGAGGGAATATTTCATAGTCCGCTAAGGAGGTCTCATTTAATTAGAGCTCCACGAAGCTCGTTTGCATGAGTTGGCAATTCCGAGCAAAATCGAGTCGTATTTGAAATAAATTTTCGACTAACTGATATCTCATATAGGTCGTTTCTAACTTTTGATAAGGTCGTTTGTATTACACAATATGATACATTGTGGCTATTAAAAAAAATTAAAATGTTTGCAAAATGGATTAATTTATTTGGATGATGGATTATTTTATTAATACTAGAGGTCCCCCTCTAGTATTTTCTATCTGTGAAAAAATCAGGTAATCAAATTTAACAACAAATGTATAGTTGTAAATTCAATATGCGTTAAATTCTGGACTGAATTTTTTTTACAATTTTTAATTTAATGTGAATATATTTTTTTTCATTTAAGTTAATAAGGTAAAGGCGTTTGAAATTATTTTATATTTTTCAGTTTAAAAATAAATCTTCGTCCAAGTGACCGTCTTAACCTAATAGTCTGGCATTTAATTTTTAAATATAAAATATCAAGTTAAGTACACGAAGACGTAATGAAAGATACAGAATAATCTGTAGATCCTACGTTTTACTAGCAAATTCGATCATGGAACATACATGTATGTATCACGAGTTGGCTCAAGTTTCACGAGATCGGATAGTAAATGTGTTACCAGAGTAGGATATGTCCGGTAAGCACAAGCGTCGCTCGGAGCCAGTTTCGAATGCAAAATTCGATATTTGAATTTCAAAATACCAGGCAATGCGCACCGGGGGAGGCGGTTCGTGGAATATATCTCATGATTCTTCCCTTGGCAGCGTAGTAAAACAAGTTAAACGCGCCTGCGACAAGTGAATGCCAATTTTGTTGACGGCGGTTTTATGCCATTGTAAAATAGCGCTGCAGGAATATTGCGCGATTAATACATTTCCCCCGGGCCGTCTGAGGTCGCATAAATCCCTAGTTAGTGAGCTCAATTTCGGTCCGCTAACTCGATCTGGTCCCGTGATAATCCCCGACTTCGTCTCCTTTAAAGTCCTTCAATTACAGAAGGTACAAGGTGGTCTGTCTGTTTTTGTTATTATGTTACTTTGTGTATTGCGCTTTGATAAATATCTGATTTATGATTCAATTGTGCAAATCCTCGCTGACGTATGATATACGGTCATTGTTATTTTTCTGCAAGACATTGATCTGGTGACGGGTATGTACGAAAATATATATTCAAGTGAAGTGTAACAATTTAATTTATAGCCTAATTTTCCAAAGGTTGTCAACGCATCGTCACATGGGCGTCTCACCGATTTCGGCGGCGGCGTGCAGCAGGTCCGCCAGCAGCTCCGGCTCGTGGCAGGCGATGGCAAGCCTGTCGTCGTGCAGCCGCGCCGCGTCCAGCTCACCGGGGGCTGCCTCTCTGAGCTGCAATGCCACCGCGCCCTCGCCGCCCACCGCGCTGTACATCAGCACGGTGCGCGGTGAGAACGTGAGTGGCAGCCGCGTCGTCGCCACCTGCGCAGACCAGTATGCTCTTAGTGCCATCAGGTACACAGCGGTAGGTCAATGCAGCAGCCTTGGCTGTTGCACGAGTGGGCAGGTTCGTCCGGATAAGTACCACGACCTCACAGAAGATCGGCGTAAAGTGGAAGTATAATACTTTCGCGTTTCGTCTGGTGAGTGAGGTGGGCGGAGCCCAGTTTTCAAAAGGTTGTTAACGCATCTGGAACCCTCGGGTGTAGCAGATGTCCATGGGCAGCGGTATTCACTTAACATCAGCTGAACATAAAAAAAAAAAAGGTAGAGCTTCACCTGCGACTTCGTTCCTTGTGCCCCCTGGAGAATTTTTAAAGACATCACCCTTACTGTAGGACAATATTGTCCAGTCTAACTTGTATACACCCATATCTGATACAGTTATTTTCGAGGCACACAAATATTTGTCCGATGTAGCAATCGAACCAGCTAAACCCAGCGCTGAAGCCATCGCAACTGGTCCTTGTTGTTTTATAGATAGATGTGGCAAGCCACGTGCCTGCAACAGCCCTTAGGAACATTTAGTATGAATAGAATAGAAGTTAAGCACCATGGATAATTTACGTGTATCTCTTCTGTACGGTGATCGAGGGATTTGAATTCTGATTGCGTAACCTTAGTTAAAATCTGGGTGCCGACACCAATAAAATTGTTAATTGCAATTTTAAGTGCCGACTTATCACGGGCTCAGCTGACATATGACAGAAAAGATCGTGTGGAATCCTGCGTAATTTCGAAAAAATAACAATAAAAAAAAAGAATGTGTAGTCTGCCGATTGGCAGTCTAGTTGTGTAGTCTGCAGATTGCCAAGTGGAGTCGCGTCGTAGACTATGCCCTAGTATCAACAGTAGACTGAAGACCTTTTCTCAGCAGTGGGACATGTATAGGCTGTTTCTTTACTTTACTTTTGTCTATACGGTTGTTCATTTCTTATATGGAGAACATTAAATTATGTTTTTTAGACTGTACCTTAAATTATTAATTAAATTTAATTGAAAGTACATTAAATTTCTTAGGGCACATGGAGAGTTTTCCGCAAATTTGTAATGAATATGCATGGGATTACGGTAGGCGATATTCTTCAGGTGGCATTGGCACTTCACGTTCGGTTAACATGAAGCACGTTTTTTATTCTGTTCGTAATCTGACAACGGACGGGGAAACTCGTTCCGTAAATCGGTCTTCACCCGCTGACATTGAGAATTATTGTCAAGAATTGATAATTGCCTAACATGCGATTCTGCCGTAAGCAGTAACCGCAACTATATCTAGCTGAGGATGGGGATCTAGCTCAGTAAAAACGTGTTTGGTATATGTTATAGTAATATCTTATAACGATAGTTATCGACTGAAGTATTTTGAATATCTGTCTTAAGAGGGAATTTTTGTAAAGTCGTTTAGAATCCTTTTAAAATTTCTTACGAAATTTCCGAAAAAAAAAAAAATACATTCAGAGGGATAACTTTGTAACGCAAGGTATTTTATTAAAAATTCTTAGCGCACTCCTCTTGGGGCTGAGAGATGTCGTTGATACCAACTAAAGCGCCGGGCATTTACAAAATAACTTAAAACATTATCTCTTTAACCGTGAAGCGGGAGACTCGGGTCCGAGAATTTAAATGAAGACCTCCGCTCAACGCAGTAACGTCAATGTGACAAAGGGATCTGCGCTTTTGTAGGGTGAAGCGCATTGACTGAGACATCTTCGTTGCTCTTTGAGAACCGACAGATTTCAACTCATTGACTAATGCTACTGTATGTTAGAATTTCTAGTGGATTTTAATTATAAGTTAGCAATATTTTCTTTCTCCGTTAAATTTTAGAATTTATTCTACCGATCATTATTATAATGATATTCGTTATTCTAATATCGTTAATAAAATGTATAAATTATCGAGTGCTGCACTTGTGACAAGTACTGCGCTGATGCCAAGTAATAGCAGCTTTTGCATTAATGGGCTGGAATGTATGATTAATTTTATTTTCAGTCTTTGCACTCGAGATGAAACTTAAAATATGATTTTTTTGTTGATAACCGGATAAAAACTTGCGGTGCTAGATTCGACTCTGCATCTAACTGATAATGCGCCCAGTGTTTTACCAACTACCGCAAAGACGCGGGTTCGAATTCCACTCCACGATAAATCCCCATACCTCATCTATCTAATCAGTTACGATTTGCCATTTTAGGTTTCCTGTTCAGAACTGTTTTAAATAAGATCAATTAATAATTGATGATATTGCTTTAGTACTAATAACAAAGTTCCATTTTAGTATTGACCAAAATTACCTATGACCTAGTCTTGTGACGAGACTTGTTGATCTATTTACTTCCATCTATGTTATTAACAGTAGTAAACTTAATAATATTTATTCAAATATAGAGTAATTGACATAAATCGAAACAAATTAACTTGACAATGTTAAAAAAGCATAGCACTAAAGAGTGATCTTCAACTTGAAAGAAAAATCAACTTGTCTGCAACTTTTAAAAGCTTTTGGGACCGTTAAAACTCTTTTTAAATGTATAAAACTGTACTCATAAAACTAGCACAACCCCTCGAAGAAATTTCGGGGGGTCTGAGCGCGTTATTGTCAACTAAAACAATTACTAGAACAACTGTGAAGGAAACGTTACGTGTGTTTTGCCTAACGAAGAGTCATCATAGTTCAATAAGAGCCTATAGAGCAATATCTCTTAGTATCTCCCTTAGTATCTCGAAACACTGTTGTCTGAATGATTAATGAATCGTTACCGAGATAGGAAATTTACTTATTTTCACGTAGCGAAACTGTTTCAAAATTCAAGACAAATATTTTTTGTGCCACATTACTGATTTCTATTGTAGAGCTACTATCAGATTATGTGAAATATTGTTAAAAAATCTACTCGTATACTCGTATTATACACCGTGATTTAATTTATATTACTTTTTATATCTATTAGAAGTAATAAATTCATAATTAGTCTCTGAAATATCTATTTCAGAGATTAATTAAGAATTCGATCTTATGAAACTAGTCTTTATTATAGAAAAATTAATAAAGTTTTCAATATTCACCAGCTCAATGGTTTTGAAATTTACTATATTAAATCGAAAATACCTAAGATTGAAATTAATTAAAGTTATTTCTAAAACGCCGACTTACACAAGGGAGTTGGTAGCATTGGATGCGCGTACCCTCAGATAGGTTATACTGATCTTGTATGGCTATTTTAATAGTATTATTTCAATTTACAGTTAACAGAAAACTTACAGGTGGTGTTTGTAAGAAATTACTTATTGTGAACGAAGGACATTAACAAAATTCACATACAAAAATTTGGATAACTTACATGAAAATTAGGTAAGCAGAATATATCATGGGAACTCGTATATTTTGATAATATCCTTCTTGACTGATTATTGACTTGATTATTTATTCACTTAAAAATATTTAAGTGAATAAATAATAAATGTTTTTTTAAATAATTATTTATACATTTTTTAAATTCAAACCAACCAAAATTACCGCCATGTATGTACATAAGAATAATATGACGCGGTGTACTTGATAAATTTATTCAGAGCAAGCGAAATTAATTAAAATAACCGGCCAAGTGCGAGTCGGACTCGCGGACGAAGGGTTCCGTACCATCATCTATAAAAACGGCAAAATATCATGTCCGTTGCATGGGAACGCCACTTTAACATTTTTTTATTCTCTTTTTTAGTATTTGCTGTTATAGAGGTAACAGAAATACATCATCTTAAAAAATTTCAGCTGTCTAGCTATCACGGTTCATGAGATACAGCCTGGTGACACACAAACAGACAGACAGTAGGAGTCTTAATAACAGGGTCTCGTTTTACCCCTTGGGTACGAAAACTTATATACGGTTTGTTCCGAAGCAACATATAATAACAATGTTAATAAATATAACCACACTACCGAATACCCACACTAGCGAATTTAAAGACGGAAAAATTTTAATAGCCAAATATTAACATTGTTTGACGAATGTGGTATTGAAATTAACATAATTTCGAACTTAATATTATTACCAACTCAAAATCTTTTAAAAAAATTTAACAACCTGGACTACATTCAAAATAACTATGATTATGAATATATATTTAACACCCATAGGGGAGATACCGCCTAGTGTGGGGATCAAAAGTAAAACAAACTGTAATTAGACTCCTTCAGAATAAAGTTATTATCAGTCATATAAAGTCACCATCAGAGGACACGTAAATTTTTAGTAAGAAAATTCAATATACAATGTAACGGAAATAAAGTTTAGAACGGTACTGTGCTATATACTATACTGATTGTTGTTTGACTTTTTCAATTATTAAGTCTCACATTGTAGGCAAAATAGTCTATGCAATAAATAAATGAACGTTTCGGAAGCTTCTACATGTTACTAGAAACTCCAGATTTGTACGGCCTGATACTATGAGAACGGGATTTTCTATATCAATGAAACGCGGAAAAGTGCTACGCATTAACTTACGCTACAGTACTTTCGTTTCAGAGTATCGTAACGATATATCACAACACGCAAGCGTAATTGAAGGCCATTACCAGGCGTACATGAGTACCGTCAGTCAGTAGATTATTGTAAATAAATAGTTGGTAGGGCGTCATTATCGGCTGACATTGTTACCATGCGCGTGTAACGACGCCGTAGATTATAATATGATTAAAGCCGAACCGCCCTAGGTGTAATTAAATATCGCTCCGTGATATCAAAAGCGAGCTCACACAATACGGTCGCTTTATTCTGCTCCGTTCCACCTTTTTGTTATCGCCTATGGGGGAGAAGGTTGTTTTTAAGCTTTTGTAGGTTTTCTTTTATGAAATAAACATGAGGCTCGACAACTTAGAGACAGATATGCCTAGTAACTACGGTGCACGTAAACTAGATTTATGTTTCTATATATTTTTAGGATCAATAACGGTTAACTAATAGGCTTTTAAATTAGAATATTTTCGGTCGTCATGACTGTCATTTAATAGC